AGCAGAAACTAGACAAGGGAAAAGAGAAGGAGAATCCGAGTGAGCTAGGAACCGCCAGTGATGCGAAAGCAGAAGCGAAAACAGTCCAGGAAGAAGAAGCACCGCCCATACCACCGCGGATCATCTCTCAACCCCCCGATCACGACGAGGACGGCGATAATGATGATGTGATGCTAGAGGGCACGCCGGTCCTCGACCGCGAAGACGAGAAGTTCCTCGAGCGCCTCACCTCGCCCGACGCGCACCTCAGCGACGACGACGACGACGACGGCCCACCACCCCCTCTCCCCCCGCGCGTCAAGACGCCCGTCATCGACATCGACAGCGACTCGTCCAGCGTGTCGAGCCAAGAGGCGAAAGCAAAGGGCAAGGAGAAAGACACAGGAAAAGGAAAAGACCAAAAAGACAAACACAAGCGCTTCACCTTCGCAACCAGCTTCCTCCGCCGCAAACCCGCCGCTCCCTCCACATCCTCCCTCTCCGTCCCCAGCGCCTCGCCACCCCACGAATCCACCGACCTAGCCCACATCCTCGACGACCTCGACCTCTCGGCCCGCAACAACCGCGCCGTCTCCCTCTCGGCCGAGTCCGCGGCCATGGCGCACCGCTTCACCCAAGTCCTCAAGGACCTCGTGCACGGCGTGCCCACGGCCTACGCCGACCTCGTCGCCCTCCTCGACGACCGCGACGGCCTGCTCGCGCGCAACTTCGAGAAGCTGCCCTCCAGCCTGAAGAAGCTCGTCGCGCAGCTCCCGGAGAAACTCACCTCCTCGCTCGCCCCCGAGCTCCTCGCCGCCGCCTCCGCCGCCGCCGAGGCCCAGGGCCTCCCGACATCCGCGAGCGCGACGGGCGCGGGCCTGCAGGGCGCGGCGAAGACGTTCTTCGCGCCGGGGCATCTGCAGGAGCTGGTCACGAAGCCGGGCGCGCTGGTGGGGCTGCTCAAGGGCATCGTCAATGTGCTCAAGACGCGCTTCCCGGCGTTCGTGGGCACCAACGTCCTCTGGAGCCTGGCGGTGTTCTTGCTGCTTTCTATGCTCTGGTACTGCCATAAGCGGGGGCGCGAGGTCAGGCTGGAGCGCGAGGCGAGCGAGGCCGAGGCGAAGGCTGCGGGGGCGGCGGCGGCGGCGGAGGGGATCGAGGGGCCGCGGGTCGAGGAGTTGCCGGATGATCCTATGCTTGGTCCGCCTGGTGGGGTGAAGGAGGGTGTGGCTGGTTGAGGGGGGCTTGGCTGCTTGCTTGGTTATTTGGTTATGCTACGATGGATGGATTGGTTTGGTTTTGTGGTGACGTGATCATGATGATGATACCCGGACAAGTTTTCCTTTTCTCCTTATATTGAACGGTTGAATAAACGAGGCTTTTTTTTAATCGGAATGGGTCGTCTATAATTCAAGCTTGTATTTTGGGAATAGGATAAAACGAGATAGACGATGTCAAAATAGTAAGAACTTCCACACAAACGACACGATATCGATGGATTTGATTTTGAGTGAGAGTCACTTACCTCCTTGAGTCTTCCCTCTATATCTAGTCACTCGTAAACATGGTGGGGAGAAATATTCAAGCAATACACATCGTGGAAGGTAGCCTTAATTCAGATAATTCTATTGAGGGTATATTACCCTCCCTACCTACTTATAATATAGGCAGTATCCAGCAAGAGCCGGATTATTGACCCTTCGCGAGGTTACTTGTGGCTCTGCCGGGGGTCTCCAAAGACGCCACGGCACGGCCCATGTTTATGGGTGCATGGGTTGATGATGATACTATGTGTACAGGGCCTCTCTATCCATCGCATCGATGTTAGTAGGCAACCATGCCGTAGGATAATAATGGAGGATGGAAACGCCAGATATTGAGATACTTCGTCTATATCTCATGCGGCTGTAGTGCCCCCAGTCTTTATTTCCAAGCTGACCGGGATCCGCACAGGCATGCTGAATAGAATCTCGGAAAGTTCTAACGAGACGGTTAGACACTGATAGCTGAGCGGTGACGCATAGGTCTCTAGAGCGTTGTGGCTCTCCTTGCAGCTTCATGCGCGTGTTATTTCCACACCGTTATGGCAACGGACTCCAGTCTGTTCGAAACATCCAAGGCGGATTCTAATCATCCTGTACCAGCTCCTTGATTTCCTCGCTCGCGGGCGCGATGCCGACCGGTTCGGCCTTCTCATCACGTCCGCCCGTACGGTCGAGCACGCGTGCGCCGTCCTGCATCCAGAAGTCGACCTCGTCGACGATGTCAGCGACGATGTCTTCGGCGATCTGTTCGTCGTAACGGTCGGAAATAGCCCGCGTCTTCTCGAGCTTTTTCTCTTGTGGTGTGCCCACGCGCACCGTGTCCTCGTCTTCGTCTACGCCCATCAAGTCCGGGTTGCTCTGCGCGGTAGCATAGCCTGGAGGCGGGTACCAGAAGTCGGGCCCAAAGTTGCACTCGACTGAGCCGCCTCGGAATACGCTGATGGCCGGGTAGTATCCCAACATGCCGTCGTCCTTGCCCTCTCGCGCGCCGACCTGGACTTGAGGTTTCGAGGCGGGCGGGAGGAAGGCAAAGAGATCGGTGAAGGCGGTGCCCATGGGCACTCCGTTCTTATATACTTTGATGTGGGAATTTGGTAGTGTTCTTAGCGCGGGGACGGGGTGATTCGGGTTCGGCTTCTCGCCCTGCCTATGACCGGCTTGGCCAGACGTCCCCACTGGTGATGGGTTCGACAGGTCCTCTAGCTCCTTGGTTGTGTGGTAATCAATCTTCTCGAAATAAATATGTGCCTTGAATCGGATGGGTATCCGGTCTCGGACGATATTGGCGGCTTCAACAGCGGTATCTTCTTCCTCGTTCAAGTCAACAGCTGGGTTATACTGTCCTTGGACAATCTTTCTGTGTAGGTGCTCGGATGGCAGTCGGATCTCTAGTCCTATCACGTCGCCTTCTCTCATATCTTCACCGGGGGGGAAGAAGTCTTTGGGGCGGGACATGTGTACCTTCTGCCCAGTGACGTCTCTGAACCCGTAGCTATAGGCATCGAAGCCGACAGGGGCATCTAGTGAGGCCTCTCGCCTGGCGAATCCCATGCGTACGTGGCCGTGTGACTCCGGCTGATAGGCACCGTCCTTTCCGCCGCTGGCACTCTTGGTGCCCGTCTCGTTTTTCAGGATTCCCCTGGTCACCTTGCATTCCCAGTACCAGGTGCCCTCGCGCATAGCTACATTAGCTCTCGCCATCCGAAATCCCTTGTCAGTGGTGACGTGGCGCCCCGACTGGTCGAAGAACATGTGCGTCGAGGCATCTTCGAAGCTAATGTGAGGACCATGTGGTTCGGGTTCGGTCTGGCGGTAGTAGAAAGAGGATGGGAAAACGGGGTCGGCGATGCAGTGTAGGTAATGGTAGCTCTTCTTGTTAAACACACTTCAGATGTGTATAGGTTAGCAGGGGATACGAAGGCAATAGACGACAACTTTTGGCAGTGTAGATAGATAGTATATCTGATGCTGTGTGCATAGGACAACTCACTGTTCCGAGGTTTCGAAGAACTGGAGAACAGAGCCGTCGGGGGCCGGAAAGGAGTGGTGATAGGTGAAGATAGGACTCCGCGCCGGATCGAAGTCGGCAGGTTTGGGAGGAGCGAGCTTGAATCGCAAGGGCGACGACTCGCTGGGCACGCCGTCTCGCATCCTGGGGTCGGGTGTCGCTCTCGAGCTGTCGGTGCTGCCGTTACCATTATTACCGTTGCCACCATTGAAACCGACACCGGTGCCAATGCCAATACCGCCTCCGCCTCCGCCAAAGCCTCCACCAACGCCCATGCCCCCTTTAGATTCGCGCTTCTTGAGCGACTCCTTCTTCGTCCTCGCGGGCTTGTCTCGAGCCAGAGCTGCTGTTGCCGGGTCGTCGTGGGGTTGTGCGCTCGAGCTTGGGGTTTGGGTTGGGTTCGGGTTGAGTGGCGATGAGATGGGCGGCGCATGGTCGTCATCGAGAACTCTCTTTTGGGGGATCGTCGACATCGGTAGCACCGGCACCGGCACAGGCGTGATCTGCCTCTTAGGCACGTCGTCGTTGGCCGCCATGGTGACGCAGTACTCTGTACCAGACACCTACCTCAAGGTACTCAATCGATCGACTATCGCTGCTACCACTGCATATAGTGTCTAACAATAGGCATAATTGAGTTCCGAATGCGCCCTATGCACTACACCTTATGTTGTGATCGGTAGTTGGATGGATGGATGGATGGATGGATGGATGGATGGATGGATGGATGGATGCACAGATGGATGTATGCACAGATGGATGAATCAAAGACCTAGATTTGCGCAGTGGTACAAAGTAGGTACCTAGTCTGTGGGATGCAATTGCAATTGCAACCAATGTGCCCTGATATTCGGTGATTTTAGGGAATGAGCGAATTCGAAGTCGGCTTTTAGGCGATAAGGACAGCCTAATTAGGTTGTGGACATGCGAGCAAGTAGAAGTCGCAACCAGAAAGTTTGTTGAGGCTCTAGATATGTAACATCCCGTTGTCGCGTTCGCGTGCTAGATCTGTGTAGATAGGTACCTAGGTAGGTGCTCTGAACCCCTGTTTAGCTACGGAACCCCCCACCTTCTCAATCCATCTACCTAGGCCCTCTCTATCTACTGTAATAAGTTACAAGAAGCCGCATGTGATTATACGTAGTAGTCATCACATTACGAATATCAGTTCACAGAACCTTATAAGAAATGTATTATGAGCGCATATAATAAATAGATAGTACTCCTGTTTATTTTTAGCATACTTTTAAGACGAAGTATGCTCGGGGGCCGATGTTCGTACCTTAGGTTGTGGTCATATATATAGATAGCTTAATGCACCTAGATAGCCAACTGAAGCGGCTCAATTTCAATTTTAAATGGAGTGGTATCATGTATCATACGTGTGTATAAAAAGATCAGACATGATCGCCTTTTTGTTGTTTATGGGTACGCAAAAAGAGCAGGATCGACGAGGGCAAAACAAAAAGCGACCAGCACGGGACTCGAACCCGCAACCCTAGACTGACCTCTACTCTAAGACAACCACTTGAAATGGGCTTAGATGTTGTAGGAGGTCTATACGCTACCATTGCGCCAACCGGTCGACCTTGGAGAAGTATCGGGATTATTGAGTTTTATTTTCCTTAATGTGGGTCTGGTTAGGGCCCACACCACTAAGTTGAACCGGGCATAATGCTCTGTAAACCGGACCAGCGTGTAAGTACCTAAGGTTAGGTAAGAAGCATTATAAACTGTTTCTACGCCGTGGGTTTATAGAATAAATATGTATCTAGATTAGGTAGCTAGTTGCGTAAGTTTTTTGGCCATTAAGAAGAGGTAAAGATGCTTACCCAATCATTTATTCAGCACTTTGGCTCAGCTCGGCTTGGTGATGAGTGGCCGTCTCATGCTCACTTAAGCATCATGAACCAATGCCTTAACAGCATATAAGTCAAAACATGAAATCAGTTCAGGTAGTTGTGTACAACAATTCCGGGTCGGTAAGAATGAATAAATCAATCGCTATTCCACTCCCAACAACTGAAGCTCTCTTCCGTCTATGCTAAATAGGCAAGGTAGGTAGCAGGTAAATACAGAGAGCCGTACAGCGTTGCCACCCCAACTAGATAAACCCGTCGTCCAGCACTCCTTCTATCCCTTCTACCGCACCACCACCGGCGAAGCCGAAGGCGACGCGCTCGCGCTCCCCGTCACGGTCGTGGTGGCGTTGTCGTAGCACATGGCGTCGATGAAGCAGTGGCACGCGTCGGCGCACATGGCGCAATACGCCGGGTCCGGCGGCGGCGACGAGCCCGCGCCGATCTGCACGAACCCGCACGACGACGACTCCCGCCGGCAGTATAGGCACTGGCTGCACGAGCTCGTGTCCAGCGGCGCGGTGCACCCGTAGTTGCAGTAGAGCCCGCACGCCTTGCACGAGGCGGCGCAGGAGGGGAAGCCTGAGGCTGCTGCCGCGGCGAGGGCGGTGGGGAGGATGGTGAGGGCTAGGGCGAGGAGGGTGGGTGTGCGCATGGTGGTCGTTTGGTGGTGGTAGAGGTGGATATGAACAGCTTTGGATATATTGTTCGGAGGATATCAGTGTATGGCCGAGATATTGGTGGTCAAGTGTGAGGTATATTGTATTCCGTACTTTGGCAGTGAACAAGAAGGTAGGTGGTCTAGGTTACTACATCGCAGACTCAAGGCCTCGGTTGATTCTCTATATAGTCCAACCCGCAGGCAGTTGGATAAGTCCTTACCTACCTCAGGCTAGACAAGCATGCAGCAAATCCTCTTCTGTTTATTAATCCCAAATAATTAAACATCCATCGTCTCCAATTGCTTTATACCCGGAGCAGCCCGGAGCATCGTGAACTGCAGATCTCCCCACTATCAATACGAAACCCTCAGGCTCCCGAATCCTTTCGCCCTCAAGTGAGTCAGCGCCCAAATGGGGATTTGAACTTATCTATATGTAGCACTTGCTCAGCTGTTGTCCATGTCAGCTCGTCACAACATCCCGTAGGGCTATGGCAATTAGTGCAGAGACGGAGTCGGTGTAAGTAAGCATGCGACGAGATGCCGGGCGGTCTAGACTGCTTGCAGCGTAGCATTGGCCTGACGATCTGTTAATACGAGATCGGCTATTGAACCTCCACTTGCCTTTCGTATCCATCGCATATCCACATACTGGGCTGGGCTGTATCGTTAATTCATCCATTACAGGTATGCCATATTCCTTGCATACTAGCAGTGGGATAATTCTAGGCACAATATTTTCCATTGTTCTCTTAGCCATCCTAGTCATAGTGAGCTTCAATCTAGATGACAACATGCTACAAGTATGAACACTGCCCTATATATGAACATCGCGAAGTTTCTACCTCTGCTTTCTTTTTAAGTTAAAGGGTGCTATATGGCCACTTGCATTTGTCCATTCCATCGTTAGTATCAAGGGGAAATCATCTACCCAAATTAATCTAGAAGCTAGAGATTTAAGTATGACAACTAAGAGGATGATCAGGACTGTAGATTTTGATGAAGAATATAACGAGGCATAAAAGCCCTTATCGTATGCATTACTATGTGCTGCTCTCTGCCTATAGATGGGGGATTCCGTGTTATATGATGAACTGCCTCCCCGAAAGCGAAACGGTATTTGCATCAACACATAGGGCCATCTGGGCTGAAATCCCCATCCTATTATTTCCGAGTAGGTACACAGCGAAACAGACCAGGTACACAACAGGTATCAACGACCATCTTGCACCTGGATAACTCCAAAAACACCGACAGTGGTTGGTAGGCGAAATCCTACAAGTACATTGAACGCCGGGCCAAATGATGATAAAACAAACACGCCCCACCGGGCGCAAGTGTGTAAACGTGACAGGTGATCGCCAAGAAAGCCGCATAATCAGTAAATTTACGATATTCCCAAAACCTCAAACGGGCATACCATTCTCCATCACCTTCCGACCTTTACTATCATAAGACGTGACGCTGAATGCCTCAAAGTCGTTCTTGTCTTGTAGTTCCTCCTCGTTCAGCTCCAGGCCGGCGAGGACCCCCTGCCCAACCTTGGGCCAGGACGGGGGGATCGATTCGGTCGAAGATTCACGCTCTGCTTGCCCCTGAGTCTCGGTAGACTCTTTCCTTTTCGTTCTTAACTTTCCGCCCGTGTCAGGAGTCTTGGCGTCAGGTGTTGACACTGCGCTCGTGAAATTCGCTGGACCGCTGGGCTTCACATCTGCTCGTGGATTAGGGCCGGCTGGGCCCTGCGCACCTCGTTTGGAAGACGCTCCTGGCTCCTGGGCGGGAAAGATGGGGAGGTCTGGATGTAGCTCTGTGCTATACATGATGATATTGACCAATTGAGAGTGTGGGAGGTTGTTGAGACAGGCCCGCTTCTATATATCGATTAGTAAGATTGCGCGCGAGCATACATCAAGGATATATCTGACCTGTTCCACGCTCTTCGATGCCCAACTAGCACCCTTATACTCCTCGAGTGTCTTCTTTTTAGCTAACGCTTTCTCACGCTTTGCTAGACACCGGCTACAAAACCATGAACGCGTCTCGTCACTAACGAAATCGTCGTCGATGTATGGATCGTGGCACATCTGGTGCCAGCAGAAATTGCAGCCGTCGCAGAAGACGATCTGGTTCATATTTGGGCTGAGCCCCCTCGTGCAGACCTTACAGAGGGCCTGCTCGGCAGTCCGCTTCCCATAGTGCTTTCGCTTCTGGGCGCTCCCGCCGTCTCCTGGGTTGAACTGTGTCGGTTTCTGCACCTGTCGGCCTGACTTTGTCTTAGTAGCTGCTTTCTGCGCCTTCGCTGCTGCATCAGTGTCACTATCATCCAGCTCGCTCTGGCTCGGCGATGCGTCGCCATTATCCTTGCCTCGCTTGCGCTTCGTGCCTCTTGCTGGCTTTCCCTTTTGTTTGATTGATACTGGTTTCGAAGCTGCTGGTTTTGCCGGGATGGTGGGCTTGGCTGTTCCGGGAGTCGGCACGGGCGCTGATGTCCGGAGCTGAAATGAATCAGACATGGAACTAGACTGTCCTGGCTTTGGAGACGGCATGGGCATCGTCAAAGAAGTGTTCATATTCATGACAAGACGTCTCTTAGCATCCTCGAACGCAGACTTCTCGATGCTTCGAGCTATCGAAGAAGCAGATGAGAGAGCTGCCGACAGGCTTCCCGGTTTGCTGTTTATGCGCGACAGTATCATCTGCGTGGCTGCAGAGAACTGTGGTACATAGGGCCGGTGCGCACTGGAACTTGTTGAGCTTGGCGCTGGACTGGGTGCTTGACTGGGAGCTAGGGTTGCTGTAGAGGCCGTAGGTATGTCGGTGGCAGCAGCAGGAAGAGGAGGGGCATCTTCCACAGCAACATCTCCACTTGAGTCTGCCTTGGAGTCCTCTGGTTTATCCCCCATTTCGCAGTTGCAGCAGGCAACAAATAGCCTAGTTGGTGTATGAGTGCCATGAACTTGCTCACCGAGCCTGGAGTCTGAGATTGGAGACTTCCCTAAACCTAGGATGGGCAAGTCGGCGTGGAGGCCAGAATTAGCCACTGCCCAGTACTTCTTACAAGATACCGAGCAGGTATGTGAGTTCAATTCAAATGCGAAGGGTTTCCGTGTTAGTTTAGAAGTAGAAAGCTCAGTCGAGACAACTGATTGAAGGAAGGGAAGGTGAATTGGACGGAGAGTGAAGGTGGAGAGATATGGCACGTGACTTTCACGTGATTCTGCTCTTTAGCACTCAGCGAATACTTATGTAACTTCCTACACAATTTATTGATCCGCATCGCTGATATATTCAAAGTAAAGGAACTGGTACCTTAACCTAGGTATTCAGAATTGAATTATGTACTGCAAACTGCACCATAAAGCTGTCGGGTTCAAAATCCTTGCCCAGAACCACCCTATATCTTAGATGAGTACTTAGGTAGGCAGTCTGTTTGGCCTCTCATGACCTAGAGGATCTCTGTAGGTAAAGTTCACACTTCATTCGATATGACAAGTTGATTCTGACAAAAGAGTGTCTTTGAACATACCGTTTGTTTTGAATATGACAAAAGGCTGTTAGAAACGTCATTACAGTGCGGCCAGTTTCCATTAATACAGTCCCCGCTCCTGTCCCTTCGTGCAGTATACTAGTCTAAACCTGCCTAAGTGTGGTTCACCTCCAGCTTTATTACAACGTCCAACCATAGCACGTGAATCAGATGATGAGAAACTACTAATATGGCAGATTGTTGACAGATACCTTCGATGTTAGCCTACTATCTTGCAACTCTGTCTATAGAGCTGGCAAGGAGATCGGTACACGGAGGGATAATTTGCCGGAATCAGACGAGTGGACATTACGAGATATGTTATTATCAAGAAACTTTGTCCATTTCCGGTTCCTTATATAGAAAAGTTGAATGGGCGAGAGACAGATATTAGGTGGAGGGTCATCAATTTGTCCAGAAAATAATTGTGGTTTTAGATTGAGGTCTGATATGCAACAAAAGTATTGAGTTACAACTGTGAACAGCCTAGGGCAGTCTTGGCCGTGTGACAAAGGCCTCTGTGCTCTATCAGCGTTCAG